ATTCAACATAGTCATAAAACAAGGATGTGTCATTTTTTGAAATCAAACCAATCAGGCAGGTATCATCAGCAAACTTAATATTAAATGATTTACTTGGATCAATATTACTACAAAAATCAGAAGAGTATACCGAAAAGAGCCAGGGCGACAAAACACACCCCTGTGGTGGCCCCGTGCTACAAGTCAACGACTCAGATACACTACCCCTGAATTTAACAATCTGTGTTCATTCATATAAGAAATCCGAGATCCAGAGGTTAAGTCGTGGGTTTATTCCTATATTTATTAGCTTCTCAGTAAGTAGATGGGGCTGAATGGTATTAAATCTAAAAATAATATTCTAGCATAGTTATTAGGATATTCGAGATGAGCATACACCCTTTGCGTGAGCGTCATAACTGCATCAACTACTCCCCTTTTTTCCCGATAAGCAAATTGATAACTATCAATCACATTATTTGTCCGACAATTTAATGCATTTTTTATGATTTTTTCCAAGCATTTCATTGGAATTGCAGTTAATGCCACTGGCCTATAGTCATTACAGATGTTAGGTTTATCATGTTTTGGTATCGGTTTGATAATGGCAGACTTCCGAAGTTTGGGTACTCGACACAAATCTACTGAACATTGAAATAAAAAATGAAAAATAAACTTTAATTGAAAATAACATGTCTTCAAAACTTTTCCTGAAATAAGATCAGGCCCTGCGGCTTTCTTAGACTTAACATTTCTAAATGCCTTCTCAACATCACTTATGTTAATTGAAATATTATTTTCTTCTGTTATTGAACCTGTGAGTCTTTCCTTCTGAATGTTTCGAAACTCCGAAAAATCCCACTTATCGAACCTAACATAAAATGGTAAAATGGAATCTTCACAAAACTTTATATATGCAGAACATCGTTCTACTGTATCATCAAGTGAACTGTTCTTAAATATCTCCCACTCAGTTCTTTCAAAACAATCCCTAAGTTTGCTAATAGCATCCTCCGACCACATTTTAATAGGTTTAGTAATAATTTTATGTTTTCTTAATTTCTGTTTATACTTCGGCAGTAACTGGATAAGATGGTGATCAGACTTCCCGATTCCATTTCTTGCTTTCGACAGGTAAGCATCTGGTAAGTTCCCGTAGCATTCATCCAATATTGTATCTTTCCTTGTGTGGACATTCACGTATTGATGCCAGTGAGGTAATGATTTTTTCAACTTGCAGTGATTGAAGTCACCTAACACCAACTTCAGCGCATCTGGTGACTCACTCTCAAGTAGTCTCATCCTCTCTGCAATTTTTTTTCCCGCGTCTATGCGACTGCCTTCTTGTTGTATAAATGCAACTGTCACAAAGATCTGTGGAATCTCTCTAGGCAAGTAAAAAGGTCGTAATGCTAGCACAATAAATTCAACGTCTTTACAACAATGTTTTTCAACAACCTTGATATTTTTACACCAACGTTGATTTATGTATGCGCAGACACCTCCGCCTCCATACTTCCCTTCAGCCTCCAAATCTCTATCTCCACGTTGGCATGAGAACCCATCAATACTAACATTTGCATTGGAATGCTTATCTTTAAACCACGTTTCCGTGAAGCACAGTAAACTAGACTCTCTAAAATCTTGTACTGCCATACATGCTTCCAATTGATCAAGTTTATTACACAGGGACTGGGCATTTCCAAAGATAATAGTAGGTAATGGAAGACGATTTAATCTTCTAAGTCTCACCTTAATTCCTCCCCTTCGTCCCCTTTTCCGTGGCTTTGTGTAGTAATTGAGGTTCAAGTTGCTAGGCCCACCTGTACTAGGCCTAGATATACTAGGCCTTAGTTGCAGCAGCTCTTCACGACAGTATATGATTTTCACGGGTTGGTGGTTTCCCGTCGTCGCGATTTGAACCGGTACCTGGGCTGCAAGACTACGGTATAATTCACTCGAAAGGAAGATTCAACTGGTACACAGCCAAAAACTGATCCATTTCTTCCAATTTATAATCATAATTATTTCGAAAGATATCAAAAATCACTGCAAACCCCCCCCCCCAAAAAAAAAGACATTTAGTGCTTGATTCTACGTCAGTACGATGTCGCTTGTCTAGCACAGAATGTTTCGTCTTCTTGCATAATTTGATGTGAATGAAATAGCCAACTCAGTGTTATTATATTTAGTTATTGTATAATTAAATAGTGTTATATGTTAGGCTTATGTATACATTATTATGTAATACATTATTGGGAATGGAGTATTAATTGTAATTTATCCAGCATTGCATAGAAACTGGCAGAAATGATCATTTAAAAACATTGGAACTCGTATCTATCTGGTAGTAGCACTGTTTATGCGCTGAACCGTGGAGATCTCTAGGTCCCCGGTTCAATTCCTGTGATGTTCAAACCTGACAGTATTGCAAGTTAACATACATAACGCTCTCTGAAGCAGGGAAGTCAGTAACAAATCGTTCAATGGACTCAAGCCTGTTCTTGTTGCTCTATTTACACAACATAGTAATAATTATCAAAGAACATAACATTGGCGACGAGTGCTACAGTACTGCTACAAAACGCCCTGAGAACGGATTGTACGAGTATTACTGCCCTCCCATGGCAAAAGGGCATAACTGACAATTTGTTGATTTTGAGATATTAAGCAAAACGTGTAAAATGTGTTTCTGTAGGCCTATTTGATTTCATGGTTAATGTATTCAAATAAAAAAATAATGTCTCTTCCAGTGTAGCACACATTTTTCTATAAATATTGATTTTTGCGCTCAAAATGTCAGTTATGCCCTTTTGCCGCGGGTTTTCTGACTCAAGACATGTTGACAAACTTTGGCAAAAGGATATAAGTACACAGTTTAGTTCCTTTCAACGAAATTTTAAGTCAGATTATTCAAACATAACATTCAATATATAATTTCATATGTTAGTCATGTATAAACTATAAAATAAATGTACAATAATACCAAAGAAACGCATTAAATAATAAATACTAAGATTACAAACGATTAAAAGCTCATGTATAGGCTAACCAAGTATACAAACGAGAAAGAGAATTAACAATAGTATGCTGTTTTGTATCAACAAAGCCTTTTTGGCTCCAGGTGCAAGATCGAGGACCCTGTGGGTAGGGGCCTTAGGGACCCCTAGGAGTCTGGGGCCCCGCAAAAAATGCGCATAGGCGTTACGCCACTGCGTGAAGGATGCATGCGTATGCGTATGTGAAATAGACTTGTTGTTTAGTTAGAATGCGCGTGTGAATGTATGTGTACGTTAAACAAGCATTATAATTATTTTATATAAATAGGTTTTTAATTTTATTTACAGAGTAAAATAATAAATATATATTTTAAGTAATGTAATTACAATATAAATTAGACCTATTATTTTTATTATTTTATTAGCAATCCTTCTCTTTGATCCAAATTAAAGTAAAAATAAAAAAGTAAGTTGTTGTTTGCTTAGTGAACACAGTTAATTTGAGTAAGCTGTGCAGTTATACCCTTTTGTCATGTTATTTGCTACAAATAATCGAAGTAGTAGTGCCTTTTTGCCATGGTTATTTGCAGAATTAAACGTTGTAGTTGTGCCTCTTTGCCATAGTTATTTGCTAAATAATCGTTTTAGTTGTCCCCCTTTCCCACTGTTATTTCTAGTTAAAATGTAAATTGTTATTCTGCCATGGTTTTGCCATTTTTATTAAACAGTTACTATTTTCCCATACATTTATTTCCATTTCGCCAAAAATGTCAGTTATGCTCTTTTGCCTTTGGGGTGGAGGGCGGGAGGGGGCAGTATTGTGAGTATTAGCGATCGTGAAAACCAATAATTATGCGTCAAACATGGCTGGTAACGACGGTCTTTCTCAAAATGATCCCAATCTTCGACCGCAACGAGGACGCTGCTAACACCGCTGCCGTCAGATGGGAAAAGTGGCTAGCCCGGCTTGAAACTTATTTCATAGCTAAGAATATAAACAAGGACGAAAAGAAAAAGGCCTAACTCCTGTTACTTGCAGGACCCAAAGTGTATGACATATATGAGAAGTATAAACAAGCTAGGACAAATTATCTGACCATTTTAGGCTAATGAAATATACAGCAATGGCTGTTTTTCTCTTAGAGAGTGCACCCAGTTGCATGATGAGACGGTAGACCAATTCGTAACACGTCTAAAATGCATGAGTAAACATTGCGAGTTTACAGATACACAGGCTGAAATACGTGCACAGATACAAAAAACAGTCAACACAAAGCTTAGACGTGAAGTACTCAAGCACCCTTGGACCATAGAAGACGTACTTAAGGAAGCTAGGGCGCTTGAAACATCAGAGGCTCAAGCTAGTGAAATCGAAAATAAAGGCAAGGAAACTGTTCAAAACTCAGACATTCAGTAGTGAAGTCAAGGAAAGCTGAATACAATGGAAAGCGAACTGCACAGCGAAACCCTCCTAATACTCAGAGTACTTCTAAATGCAGAAATTGTGGTGGAAATTGGCCTCACACAGGAAACAATACCTGTTCAGCAAGAGAAAAAAAACTTTGGAGCATGTGGCAAGTTAAACCACTTTGCGAAGTACTGTAG